ACACCTGATGAAGGCCGGAGTACACAACGACCGAAATGATGTGATAACAACAAAGATCAGGACAATAATCCTAATGCAACTAGTGTAAATAATATGTAACCCAAGTTTAAAAAAAAAATTTTTTTAAAAAGTTCTATCATTTTTCAGTTTGTCGCCATATATTGATTAAGAAAGGCTTTCTTTAACCTCCTTTTTATAGTCATAGACTTTTTTTTCTTATTTTCGTTGGGGAAGACATTTAAAAAAAAAAAAAAAAAAGAAAGTTGTTCATCTGTCAGCATTGTGAACGAAAAGACTGGATGTATTCTCGTTTCCTCTTTAACGTTTGACACTGTCCCTGTCGTGACTTCAGACCTTACGACGTTTGTACAAGGATTGGTAAGTTGGGTGGGAAAAGCCTTTTTTTTTTATTATTATTTACTCACCCGTGAAGACCCGCCTAAAAGTGACACCAGCTCTTGATTCGAGGCGAGAGGTTCTTAAGAAGAAAACAGATCTTTTAGATTCAGCAAGACTATTTTATTAGTTGGCCTGTTTTGGCAGAAGCTACAACTTGATGCTGGCAAAGGTGTGTCGAGTATTATTTTATTTTTTTAAGCTGAAAGCTGCCTGGGCGGTTTTCATTCCCTTATGCAAACAACAATCAGTTTATATCTTATATTGTTTCATAGTATGCTCTCCTTATTGCGTCTTTGTACCCCTTTGACCCAGTTTGAGTCAACCTTCCTTAGTTTTAATATAATCTGTCTTATTTCTAATAATGTTTTTTTTTTCTATTCTTTCATTGTCTATCTTTCTTCTCCGCTTTACTTTCTCTAAACGTCTCTCTTATTTTCACTATTGTGCTCTCTCCCCTCCCTTTGCTCGCTTTGTCTATATTTCCCCTCATATCTCCCCCCTCGCTTTGCTCTTTTGTCTATATCTCCCCCCTCGCTTTGCTCTTTTGTCTATATCTCCCCCCTCGCTTTGCTCTTTTGTCTATATCTCCCCTCTTTTGCTCTTTTGTCTATATCCCCCCTTTTTGCTCTTTTGTCTATATCTCCCTCCTTTTTTTTGTTTATATCTCCCCCTCGCTTTGCTCCCCCTCGCTTTGCTCTTTTGTCTATATCTCCCCTCGCTTTGCTCTTTTGTCTATATCTCCCCCCGCTTTGCTCTTTTGTCTATATCCCCCCTCTTTTGCTCTTTTTTTGTCTATATCTCCCCTCTTTTGTCTTTGTCTATATCCCCCCTTTGCTTTGCCCTTTTGTCTATATATCCCCCTCGCTTTGCTCTTTTGTCTATATCTCCCCTCGCTTTGCTTTTTGTTCATATCTCCCCTTGCTTTGCTCTTTGTCTCTCCCCCCCCTCGCTTTGCTGTCGTTGGTCTCTCTCCTCTCCCTTTTCGCTTTTCCGCTGTCGTTGGTCTCTCTCCCCCCTCGCTTTTCCGCTGTCGTTGGTCTCTCTCTCCCCCCTCGCTTTTCCGCTGTCGTTGGTCTCTCTCTCCCCCCCTCACTGCTTTTCTCCTCCCACACTTTTGCTGTCGTTCTCTCTCCCCCCCTCGCTTTTCCGCTGTCGTTGGTCTCTCTCCCCCCCCTCGCTTTTCCGCTGTCGTTGGTCTCTCTCCCCCCCTCGCTTTTTCCGCTGTCGTTGGTCTCTCTCCCCCCCTCTCTGTTTTCCGCTGTCGTTGGTCTCTCTCTCCCCCCCTCTCTTTTCCGCTGTCGTTGGTCTCTCTCTCCCCCCCTCTCTTTTCCGCTGTCGTTGGTCTCTCCCCCCTCTCTTTTCCGCTGTCGTTGGTCTCCCCCCTCCTTTTCCGCTGTCGTTGGTCTCTCTCTCCCCTCGCTTTTCCGCTGTCGTTGGTCTCTCTCTCCCCCTCGCTTTTCCGCTGTCGTTGGTCTCTCTCTCCCCCTCGCTTTTCCGCTGTCGTTGGTCTCTCTCTCCCCCTCGTTTTTTCGCTGTCGTCGATCTCTCTCTCTCTCTCTCTCGCTTTTCCGCTCTTGTTCTCTTCACTTTCTTAGCTCTATTGTCTCTCTTTCTCTCTCTCTTCTCCCTCGCTTTTCTCGTCTCTCTCTCTCCGCTCCTACCACCTCTTATTCTCTCGTTTTTTTTTTTGCTTTTTCTCCCTTTTTATTTCTTAATCTTCTTTACTTTTCTTTGTCTCCCTTTCAGTCTCTTCTTCCGCTCCACTGTTTTGCCTTCCACTCCCCAACACACTATTTTTCCAGCTTTGTCCTCTCCGACGTTTCCCACTCACTCTTTTCTTTTCTCTCTCTCTCTCTCTCTCATCCAAATATTTTACCCCCTTACTAAACTTTATTTCATTCTCTCGCCGCCCTCTTTACTTTTATTTACTTCCTTTCCTCCCCTCCTCCATATTTCTTCATCCCCTCCGCCACACATTCTTTTGTTCCCATCCTTATTTACTCCATTCTTCTTTCTCTCCGTGATTATTTATCCAGATTTGAAAAAAGATTACCGTTTTACCTACCACTCTCCTCTCCCCCTACTTTGTTTACCCCCTCCCGAAAACACACACACAAACGCACGCACCTTCTTTGCAGAACAAGTGCACTTGGCGAATGAATATAGAAGCAGTAGTAGTCACCGTATATCATTGCACTGGTCTACCTCCCCGTTGGAATTTGTCAGTTTCGCAGCTTCTTCCGTCACTTGGTATTTTCTCGTTTTCTTTCTGTTTTATTTCATTCTTAAATCAAAAAAAGGAAGGAAAGAAAAACCTTAGAGAGAAGAAATGAAGAAAAATAAGTTGAGGATTGTGAATAATGACAACATTTGCTTCCCGTTGATGCGTTGCAAGAAAAAAAAATTCAGTATCCTTGCATGCACACACGTACTTTACCATTAAATCTGTGATTTTAAAAAAAATTCACTTTTTAGAGGTTTGCTCCCTCTTCTTTTTTTCCCCGCTTCTTCCTCCTCTTCCTTTTCCTTTTTTCCTTTCCTTTTTTCCTTTATTCTTTTCCTTTTCCTTTTCCTTCTTTTTCCCTCTTTTTTCTTTTCCTCTTCTTTTTCCCTCTTTTTCTTTTCTTCTTTTTTTTCCCTCTTTTTTTCTTTTCCTCTTTTTTTTCCCTCTTTTTTTCTTTTCCTCTTTTTTTCCCTCTTTTTTCTTTTCCTCTTTTTTTCCCTCTTTTTTCTTTTCCTCTTTTTTTCCCTCTTTTTTCTTTTCCTCTTTTTCCCCTTCCCCCACTCTGCTTTTTTTCCATTTTTCTAGGCATTCGTGATTCTTGATAAGGAATACAGCTGCGTTGGGTGTGTTGATCTGTTTCATTCATTTGAATGTCTTTCTAATGATCTATGTTAGCCTGTTTGCTTGAATATTTCTCTGTGCACTGGTAGACACCAGAAGGAAACCATGTATGACATAAGGCTATAGGTTTTGATAGTTCCCAACGCCAGTGAAGCATTTTACGCTCGCAATGACTTGCGATGTTGTTAGATCAGGCGTCTTTGTTTAAAAAAAAGTTCAACTTCGTCTTTGCAAGACGCAAACATTAAATGTTAGCAATAAAGTGCAATTTTAATTTGCTAACAGTCATTCTGACACAAGGCTTTCGTTAAAGAGCGACATTCAGACTCGCTGGTCTTGGTTTCCAGAGAACCAGCCATTGCCCTGAGGCTGTCAACTTATATGAACTCCAGAGAATACACACACACATACATATATATTATGTACGTTATTATTATTATTGTTATAGAAGTATTGACGCACCCATATTTTGGCCTGGATTATTTTTGGAAAAGAATGCACGCGTCGTAACCAAAAAAATCAAAATGATAACCTTACCTTTTATATGACCTTCTCATTAACCATGAAGAAACACTTACAGGATTTGCACAAATTATACGACTGGTACTTTTTTTAAAAAAGAATAGATGCGAGGTAAGGTGTAATTACAGAGGACATTTTTTTAGAAAAGAAGAATTTTAGTACATTTCATCAGGCATTTATTGAAAAATTCTTTTAGTTGTTTTTCAGGGATCAACATCTTCACATAGAGTAAATTCATAATAGCTATAAAGAAATCTACTGGTATCAATGAACATTGGTACATGTGGTAACAGGCAAAGAGAAATATGGTACTTGTTGGTAAATAAAGTCCCATAGAATACCTGCAGAAAAGCAAATTCCAATACCTGTATTTCAACAAAAACACGCACACAAATCAAGCGGCAATATAAAAGTCAAAGCAAATATTTCTGTAAAATCTGGTATTTCTACAAAACAAGCAGCAAATTATTGTGCAAATCCATAATTTTTTTTTTCCTGGGTATATTTTTCAGGGATATTTTTATTGATATCATGTTTGTTCACTTCCAGGAGTCCTAATTTCAGAGCTAAGCTCTATGCGTACACGGATTCCTGGGGAGCCCCACTTTTTTTTCTTTTTTTTTTTTTTTTTTTTTTTTTTTTTTTTCTTTTTTTGGTGGGGGTCTTCATGTATCTCTCATTCATGATACTGCTGTATTGGACGCGTCTCTCTCTCCGCCCGCCTTCTCTCTCTGGGGAGCCCCACTTTTTTTTTCTTTTTCTTTTTGGTGGGGGTAGGTCTTCATGTATCTCTCATTCATGATACTGCTGTATTGGACGCAGGGTAATCTTTTAGTGCATTTTATCGGAAAAAAAAAATCCGCGTCCAATAAGCCGGTAAATACAGTCTCTCCCTATCATATATATATATATATATATATATAAACAGAGGTGGAGGGCAGCGAAGCGTGTGTGTGAATAATAATGACGGATTGGTCTGGTCATAAAGTCTGCCAGGTTGAGGCTGCTGAGTCGTAGGGCGTGGGGGGGGCAGAGTTCTACGATCTTTCTCACGGGGGGTCTACTTCTTCCTCATCCTCCCTGCCCCGGCCTTTTACCTAACACAAAAATTGTGTTTCTTTCACAATCGGGCGTTGTTGTTCACCGAGGGCACACTCCCCATCTCAACCATCTTGATGGACACATGTCATACTGGAGCGGTTCACCTGCTTTACGACGTTAAGGGGTGAGCAGGATGGCATTGCCTTCATCTTTGCTGCCGTCACTTCTTCCTACCCCACCTCCTCCTTTTATTTCCTTTCCAAAATTCATTTCCTTATTCGACTTAACAATCTTCATCTCCCTTCAAAATGATCTTTTAAGATTAGCGAAGCATTATTTTTCTCACACTCTCATTCATTCACTCCTTGCCTGTTCTCTTTTTGTTGTTGTTGCCTCGATTCGCTCTCATTTTCGTGCTCTCACTTGCTCCGTCCGCCTTCTCTCTCTCTCTCTCTCTCTCTCTCTCTGGCTTCTGGCTCCCTCTCCCTCTCTCTCCTGGCTCTCTCTCTCTCTCTCTCTCGCCTGCCGCCTTCTCCTTCTCTCTCTCTCTCTGGCTCCGTCCGCCTTCTCCCCTCTCTCTCTCTCTGGCTCCGTCCGCCTTCTCCCTCTCTCTCTCTCTCTGGCTCCGTCCGCCTTCTCTCTCTCTCTCTCTCTGGCTCCGTCCACCTTCTCTCTCTTCTCTCTCTCTCTCTCTCTGGCTCCGTCCGCCTTCTCTCTCTCTCTCTGGCTCCGTCCGCCTTCTCTCTCTCTCTCTAGCTCCTTCTCTCTCTTCTCTCTCTGGCTCCGTCCGCCTTCTCTCTCTTCTCTCTCTCTCTCTCTCTCTCTGGCTGGCTCCGCCTTCTCTCTCTCTGGCTCCTCCGTCTTCTCTCTCTCTCTCTCTGGCTCCGTCCACCTTCTCTCTCTCTCTCTCTCCTCCGCCTTCTCTCTCCTCCTCTCTGGCTCTCTTCTCTCTCTCTCTCCGCCTCCTTCTCTCTCTCTCTCTCTGGCTCCGTCCACCTTCTCTCTCTCTCTCTCTTGCTCCATCCGCCTTCTCCTCTCTCTCTCCCTCTCTCTCTCCGTCCACCTTCTCCTTCTCTCTCTCTCTCCGTCGTCCGCCTTCTCTCTCTCTCTCTCCTCTTGGCTCTCTCTCTCTCTGGCTCCTTCTCTCTCTCTCTGGCTCATCCGCCTTCTCCCACTCTCTCTGGCTCCGTCCTTCTTCTCTCTCTCTCTGGCTCATCCCTTCTCTCCGCCTTCTCCGTCCGCCTTCTCTCTCTCTCTGGCTCCGTCCGCCTTCTCTCTCTCTCTCTAGCTCCGTCACCTTCTCTCTCTCTCTCTCTCTGGCTCCGTCCGCTGGCTTCTCCTCTCTCTCTCTCTGTCTCCGTCCGCTTCTCTTCTCTGGCTCTCTTCTCTCTCTGGCTCGTCCGCCTTCTCTGGCTCCTCTTCTCTCTCTCTGGCTCCGTCCGCCTTCTCTCTGGCTTCGCTCCGTCCGCCTTCTCTCTCTGGCTCCGTCCTTCTCTCTCTCTGGCTCTCTTTCTCTCTGGCTCTCTTTCTCTCTGGCTCTCTTTCTCTCTGGCTCTCTCTCTCTCTGGCTCTCTTTCTCTCTCTCTCTCTCTCTTTCTCTCTCTCTCTGGCTCCGTCCGCATTCTCTCTCTCTGACTGCGGCTCCAATCTCTCTCTCTCTCTCTCTCTGTCCCCTCTCTTTGTCGTTGGCTACATTCGTCCTATCTTTTCCTTTTTGTCGTATCCCCAATTATTTTTCTCTCAAATTATCATAAAGTAAGTCAAAATTAATTTATCAGAAAGTGTCTTCTTGTAGACATACTTTTAATATAAATTTTTGTTTATATATAAAGTGTTTATAATGTACTCACACATGTACAGTCATATATGGGTAAGTGCTCATAAGTACTGTTTTCGGTGTATATGTATTTGTCATTCCTGTGTATTGTGGCGGTACGTATATCACGTAGATATGATTGTATCGTGTATATTTTTGGCTCATTTTGAGAGCTTTTTCGTTATCCCAGGCGATTAAGGAGTGTCCTATCGTACAATCACCGGTGATAATTGCAATGATTTTAAACACAGTCGTTACTTACCTACAGAATAGCACAAGTTTTCTTAATAGCTTCTCAACGGCACAATTGGCCGATGATAGCAAAACCATAATTATCACCTCTTTCCCTCTCTTGATATTTTTAAAAAAAAAAAGAAAGAAGTCTTTTCATCATATTCACCTCGTTTTCTTTCACTTGTGTGTCTCTTGCAAGCGCAAGATTAATCTTCGTCTTCGTCCTTTCATAATCTCCATTTTGATTATCTTTGTAATCCAAATAAGGATTTTAAAAATCTTTGGTAAATATGTAGATGCGGTGGAATATATCAATAAAATTTCAAAACTAAAGCGAGGTGTGTTGCCTTGTGCCGTACGAGGCTAAGTATTATTTTTAAAATGGCTTCTTTAAATCCAGCCGTAATATAGCATAGAGATTTTTTGAAGACGTCTTGCAGAAAGTTTGACGTTTTTAAGCAGATGTACACTGTCAGAAATTGGGGTTACCTCTCATTTTATTTTTTTTAATTCTATTTGTTAGCAAACTAGAAAAGTTGAAGGTTGTCAAATTATTTCGAATTTGTTTTTGTACACACTTAAGGTATTCTTAAAAATTGCTTTGTATTGTAAAAAAAAAAAAAACTTCTGACCACGTTAGTAATGTTTAAACATATCGAGTTCCTTCTTCGTTGCTTTCCGTTACCTATTTTTATTCCGTTACTTTTTATGTCCCCCCTTTTTATGCCCCTTATTCGCCCCCCTCTTGTTCTTTTGTCATTTAATCGCCCCCACTCTTTTCCTTTGTCATTTAATCGCCCCACCTTTTTCTTCATTTTAATCGCCCCCACTCTTTTCCTTCTGTCATTTAATCCCCCACTCTTTCCTTCGTCATTTAATCGCCCCCACTCTTTTCCTTCGTCATTTAATCGCCCCACTCTTTTCCTTCGTCATTTAATCGCCCCCCTTTTCCTTCGTCATCGCCCTTTCCTTTTTAATCCCCCTCCTTCGTCACTTCTTTGTCCCCCCTCCTTCGTCACTTCTTTGTCCCCCCTCCTTCGTCCTTCTTTTGTCCTCCTTCGTCACTTCTTTGTCCCGTTCCTTCGTCACTTCTTTTCCCCCCCCCCTTTCCTTCGTCCTTATTCGCCGCCCCCCCTTCTTTCGTCACTTCTTCGCCCCCCCCTTTTCCTTCGTCACTTATTCCCCCCCCCTTTTCCTTCGTCACTTATTCGCCGCCCCCTTTTCCTTCGTCACTTATTCGCCACCCCCTTTTCCTTCGTCACTTATTCGCCGCCCCCTTTCCTTCGTCACTTATTCGCCGCCCCTTTTCCTTCGTCCTTATTCGCCCCCCTTATTTTCCTTCGTCTTATTCCCCCCTTCCTTCGTCACTTTCTCCACCTGCCCCCCCTTTCCTTCGTCACTTTCTCCACCTGCCCCCTTTTCCTTCGTCACTTTCTCCACCTGCCCCCATTTCACTTGTCATTTTCTTGCCGCTCCTTCTCTTTTCCTTCATCACTCCCACCCCTCTCTTCTTACCAGATCTATTTATAGCACTGAACTTAATAATAGCCCTACAGTAAGTTTTTATTAAAAGATTTTTTTTTTTTTAAATTTTTAGTGTCTTTCGAAGTTTTCTTCTCTGCCAATCCTTTTATGTTATGTACTTGTTTAAAATTGGGGTCCCTACCTCCACTTTTTGTTTGCACATTAATACTAAAAGGTAAATGATTAAGCTATCATTTTGCAATTTATAATCACCTTTTGCCAACGTAAAACTAAGCCAAAAAGTTTTTAAGCCTATTTGGGGGGTGCTCGTTTCTTTCAAAAACTTTGTATATATATATATATATATATATATATATATATATATATATATATATATAGTACTGCTATTCTTACCCTGCCTTTTGTCTGTGTCTTTTTTTTTTTTTTTTTTACACCTCTGTATCTCAAATATAAGCCAACACCCACCAAAAAAAAAAAAAAAAAAATCTATCTTCACCCACTTGCTTCAATTCAGGGGGTTGAGGGTCTGTATCAATCGTCTATTTGATTCAGCCCTATCCTCCTCTTTCACCCCACCCTCATCATAATTGAAGGAAGACAAGTCAAATGGCCCCACCCAAAAGATGCGGGTCATATATCAATATGAAGCGGATGTCCATTACTTGTTAGAATGAAGCTGACTGTTAAGACCCCAACAGGTAGATTGGGTTTATTTCCATTCAATTATTCTTTCTCTTATGGGAGAAGTAACTAACTCTCTCTCACACACACACACTATTGCATTTTAATAGTGATGCTTTGTGGTGTTGATGTGTGTGAGTGACACTCCTTGGTGTTGCAATAAAGTACATCTGGCAGCAAGGCCTCTGATTGGGACGTTGAAGGTTTTGAGGAGCGTGGAAACTACCTTATAATTGCTGTTGTTCCCATGTTCATTCTGGTCTGGTGTGGCAGCACCTGTTAGGGTCCACATTATCGGAAAATCAGGAACCCCACACAAACGCAAAACACTGAAGGTGTAAAAAATACAAGCAATCCGTTTTTAAAAAAAAAAAAATAAATAAAAAGATCAGCAATACAGTTTATCATAGAATTACCAACAATACAATTTATCTGTAGTTGAAGACATACAACTGCGTTTGAAATATATTTAGCTGAAAGCCATAAAATTGTGTCCAAAATATTTAGATTGTGGCATTAAATCTCTAGATGTTGCTAAACAAAACCAACTTGCAAAATTAAACTTCCACAAAACTATTACGTAAGAAACATAACCATCTCTATTCACCATGACCACACAAACATGTATATGCACAAAAGCTGAGTATCATCTAACATGTATTGAATTACATCTATCTTCTTTTTTTTTTTTTATCGCTCACCATAAAATTAAATTTCAGCATTAAATGACCCATAATGGAGTTGATATGCCGTTAAACTAAGAAATCTAAAAAAAATTAGTTTTTTTTTTATCAACATTGCATAAATATGCTGTGCCCCACTCAGTATGTGAACAGTCCTGCACTCACCCTTTTTCTTCGTTTTTTTTTTCCCTAGATATGTTTGTTAAACTTTGCCTAATTTTTCTTTAGAAAACTGTAGAAGAGAATCATGGAAATATTTGCATTTTAACTGTCGTCACTGTGTGTAACTTCATTTGCTGAACAAAAAGTTTCTCCTGCCACTGAAGGTGATTCTGATTCCTGAACAATAGTGTTTGAATTTCATAGTTGTGTTGTCATATCCTTCTATGGCAACAGAAAACAACCGAAGTAAATTAGCAATAAGGATAGTGCAATTGAAAGGCCTTGACAAAGAATGCAGTGGAAAAGCAAGTAATGTTAATAATGCAGTGTGCTAAAGGTTAATGTGCTGGATATTTCAGATACATTGTGTTGGCAAAAACATTCATTCTGTCAATGTGAATAAAAGAATAATAATGGAAATAAGTGATCAAACTTTCCAACTTACCAACAAAGTTCTAGTAAACTCGTGTCACTTGGGATGCAGCATTTGTGCATTTTACTGGATTTCCCAATTCTCACATTGTTAGCCAAGTTAGCCAGACAGCATTATGTTGTAATTAATAATTATAATTACAAAACATGTGCAAAGTTGATGAAGACAAATACTGTGGGTTGTAATGCTCTCTGGAACTGCAGCTGATTTTTCTCCCTCTCTTGATTCCATCTGGGATCATTGTCAGAAGAAGAAATTGGCGACAAATTTTTTTTTTTTTTTTTTTCCTTTCTGTTGGCAAATTGTGAAGTAAACTTTTGCCACTGATTCTTTCCTCTTAACGTTGATTTCAGACAGAAGTGGAAGCTTGGTGGAATCCACTACAGTCACAAAGATTATCATAATATCCAATATCTCACCTGGTGTGCACATTCTACAGAAACTCTATCAAATACAAATATTGCAAAGAAAAAAAGAACGTGTTATATAGACCAGCAGTTCTCAACCTTTTTTTGCCCAGTGTACCCTTTTCACCATAAGTCAGAATGTCATTTCCCTAACCCTTTCCTAGATTTTCTAAGTGAAAAGGTGCATTCCACATAATGTGTATATATTATTGAAAACCTTCATTCATTTCCAATATGCATTTGCTCTCTCTCCCTCTCTCTCTCTCTCCCTCTCTCTCTCCTCTCCTCTCTCTCTCTCTCTCTCTCTCCCTCTCTCTCTCCTCCCCTCTCTCCTCCTCTCTCTCCTCTCTCTCTCTCTCCTCTCCCTCCCCTCTCTCCTCTCCTCTCCCTCTCTCTCTCTCCCCTCCCCTCCCTCCCCCTCTCCCTCCTTCCCTTTCTCTCCCCCCTCCTTCCCTTTCAACCTTCAGTATCCTTTTTATATTTTTTCTCACCCACACTTCTTTTCCTCTCCCATTTCTTCTTCACTCTAGAGCCTAACCATCAAGTCTTGAATTTAACTTCCACCACCCAAACTCTAATCAGGATTCATAATCCAGTCTTGTAACTCTAAGTGCTAAAATGATGTCAGGGGGGACGGGACTGTAGCCAATGTGTTCCAACCAACAGTGGTCAGAATTCTCTCTGAACCACCCACAGTGTCTTTCCTTCTTCTTCTTCTTTTTTATTGTAATTACTCTCAACTCCATTGCGTCATCATTTTCTGTTCAGACGACACAAAACGGACTGAAAAGCACTTGACAAGTCTGCATTTCTCTCAAAACGCTTTCTTTAGAATTATTCCATAATTATCTGTGTTTAAATTTTTTTTTTTTATGTAGAACAAAAAATGGAATCGGAACTTAATCTGGCAGTTGCTGTTTCGTTTTAAAACTTTTTTTTTTATTAAGATATTGATTGAAAAACTATGAAGTACAAAAGTTTTTGAATCCAAGAAAATCACACTCTGCAAGAAAAATTGGCATTTTAACAATGTAATTTTCAGCTTTGTCTTTTAAATATTACAAGGCTTCACTTTCTTTCTTTAAGTAACATCTAATACTAAGCATCACTTCGGTAATGCAGAAAGCAATCATATGACCTTTGCTCATTTTGTTATAATTTTGATCATAATTTTAATTTATATGTAAGCTGAAAAGTTATAAAAAAAAACAGCCATTTTTTTGTTGCAGTGGGTGAGGGTAGGGCTGGAAGAAAAGTCGAAAATTATCAATGCTTCTTTGAATAGATAATCTGACAGAAAAATAAATGGATGTGAGAAGATCGTGTTGCATCAGTTATCCTAATTTGGAGCCAGTGTTTGGAATCTTTGCATTTACTCGTGTTTTAAAACCAACTACTGTCTCGTTGGTAGGTTTTAGGAAGATTTTTTTCAGAGTGGATAAAGCCTTCCAATTCCTGGTAAGAAAAGAAAAAAAACAGTTTTCTATAATTTAAAAAAAAATAATTTGAGGTGGTTTATTTATCGGTCACAAAATCTGATCTCTCCTATTGATGAATGGGATGTTCTATTAGAGTAACAGGATTCATTACTCGGCACCAATAAGCAGACATACTTCTTTTTGCCAGATTATTTTAATCTTATGTTTTCAGAAGTAGAATTATTTCTTAGATGCAACAATAGTTACTTGTCTAGATACCCCGACTTCTATTTGGTTGCAAAGAAGGGAATTCTAATCAGGCCAGTGACATAACAAAAACAAAATAATAATAATGTTAGAAATCATTTACATGGGCTTGTGAAGGTGACTTCTTTTCCCTCACACACGACATAGCAAGCCTATCGCTCATCGATCACAAATATTCAGTTTAACTCCATTCTTCAGATCAGGTACTGTTGCCATATCTGGGCTGATATTGGCTAGACTTCACATTCCAGTCTTGGGAGAGTCCAAAGTCATCTAAGCAGTTTTGTGGGTCATGTCTCCATACACGTTTGACATGATTCAAATGTTCATGAAATATATATATATATATATATATATATATATATATTGCTTGCTCTCCCACTCACTCACACGCTCTCAACTCTTGATTGCTTTCTCCTCTCCTCACACACACACACACATATATATATATATATATATATATATATATATATATATTATATATATATATAGCAAAAAAAGTTAGTAGCATTAAGGTTTAATGAGGAATTGGCTTCAGTCACTTTCCAACCACTGTAAATCTTTGTGATGGTTTTTTTTTTCTTTTTTTCTTTTTTTCATTGGAAGAATGCAAACAGTATAAAACCTATTGTAAAATCTGGTGTCTAAATGAGATTAATTTTTTTATAATTTTTCTGATGTTGCAGATTTGCGGATTGTGTCAAATATTGCCTGTTTCGCAGTCTCGTTCTGCCAATATGCTATCATCTTCCGAAACATTTTTATCTATTTTTCCGTCGGTCCTGATAGATTTAATTTTGAGCACGAGACTTCTTTTAGAATCTCGTCTGTGACTGGTGTGCATCCTTATTGAGTTAGCCTCTGAAACCGAAAATATTCTCGCATGGAAATCAGTTTTTGAATAGGATTTGAACAATAGAATTATTTTTCAGGTGTCCGGATGATTTCTTAAGCCCATTGAACAATGTAATCGCTTTTTATTTTTTCAGAAAAAGAGAAGCAGTATAATAAATAAGAAAACAAATTTAATGTTGCAAAAGAATTATTCTGTGTTGATTATGTAATATATATATATATATATATATATATATATATATATATATATATATATATACACACACACACAAAACCATCCATTGTGATCACTTTGGAACAACGGAGCATTTAAATAACAATAAATGGTTGATAATATTTAAGCAAAGAATAAAAAAAAACATAGATGCATTTATATTCATTTTCATTATTTATTAATACTTCAAATGTTATATTTGAGTGGAAGCACATGTTTGAGTAGACACCCTGATTATTTTTAACGGCTCTTCACTTAAATATAACAGTTAAAGTATTAAAAGATAATTTTGATTTAAAAAAAACTCTATTACATCCTTAGAAATTGAAACTTAACATTGTAACTGCATCGGTCGTCATTGAACAACTAAAACTGCTTATTGTGATCAATTTGGTACATGTCTTTTAGATAACAGTAACCAGCTGATAACATTAAACAAAGGATATAAAAATTAAAAACATTTGCATTCATTTTGAACAATATTATCTGATAAATTATAATTGTTACTAGCAAGTGTGTTGCAGAATTTGCTTATTGTGATCAAATTGGGACAATGGAAGCCTTTAAATAACAATAACCAGTTGATGACATTAGGCGAAGGTTATAAAAAAATTACAGCAATTTATATTCATTGTTATGAACGACTTTTTCATATATAGCCTCCAACAGGAATCGAATTTTTATCCCGGCTTTTTTTTTTTTTTTTTTTTTTTAAATCAGGGAAACCACTTTTTATATGTGTGCCAATACCAGTTAAGCTATGGAGACCAACCTGAACAAAATTTGAAGTACCCACCAAAATAACGTTTATAGTAATAAGAAATGATGTCTGATAAAAAGAGAAATCCCTAAGAAATATACTGTTGTTAACGTTTGGGGATACAAAACTGAACCTAGCAGATAAGGTTTCATAAAAGTTCTATTGAGAATATATAAAGTCAGTAAATTAAAATTTCCATCAACTTATCCCTTGGCTGACTTCAAAGATTGATGAAACATCCTCAGTGGTCAGAGGGCTTGATAAATCTTTAAAAAAAAATTATTCATCGAACTCTCTGACCTAGATGAGCAGTGTACTGCCAAACTTTGAAGTTAGTCAAGAGATAAGTCGATTGAACTATAGTCAATAAATTAAGTATAGGTCTCTAAGAACTTTGGGGGGGGGGATTCTGTATACCTTGAAATACACAAATTTGTAATAATTTTACATATTTCGATAGGTGGTATTGATTTATGTATGTATGTATATATATATATATATATATATATATATATATATACACACACACACAGTCTGATCAAAACATATCAGGATTGACACTATGAAAAGAAAACTACCATACATATCAATTCAGCATTTAATCTCCATCAAATTAGTCCCCTACTGAAGCCATGCACTTTATCCAGCATTATTTCCACTGATGGAAGCATTCTTCGAACTGCTTTTTTGTGGGGGAATAGCAACCAGCTACCTTGTATCATTCTCTTGGATTTCTTCATTTTAAAATCTTGTTTGAATTTTGTGTGTGTGTACATATGTGTCGAATATCATGGCTTTTTCTCCTTTTCTTCATTTTCTTTGTCTCTTTATAATCTCTCCCTATTCTTTTACATTCTTTTTTTTTTTTTTCTTCTTCTTTTCACCTTAGAATGTTATTTCCGGTATCACGGACAGAATGTTCTGGGTTTCTCTTTTTCTCAGCATGACTCCCTTTTGCTGATTAGAGCTTTATCCTTTGTTCCCTGTTTAGGATTGGGTTTCTGGTTCCTTTTCAAAATCTTTTCATTCACTTTCACTCTCAGTATCCCCTTACGTCTTAGTGGCATTATTGCCTTGCTTGGGATGAATTGATTAAAAGCATATCTGGTGAAATAAACCAACGTCATGCAGACCATTGTGCACCCCTGTGTTGTTCTTGTGTTTCATCCATTGTACCCTCATCAGTTGTATGTCGATCTGGTAACCTATGGGGAATTTCATCTAATTATCATCTAGTTCTTATTTTAGTACTCCTCAGTGTTACTGCTCACCTCGTTTTCCATTTAATAGTTTGCACTCCTCCCAGGTGTTTTGAACAGGAGTAGAGGCTTGTTTCCTGTTTAGGATTTGGTTCCAAGTTCCTTAAAGTCAAACAATTATTTCCTACACTAATATAAGTCCACACAGTAACCCTCTACCTTGAGTGGTTCTTGGGCCTTATATTGGTCGAACATTAATTTTTAAAAAAAAAAAAAAAAAGTGCACACAACTTGACCCAGGGATTGAACTCACAATTACTATATCATCAAATTCATACAACTAGGCTATTGTCCAGTGGGAAGAGGCACAATGGAGCAATGGATTGCAGCTCAGATTGAGCAATTGGAGAGCTGAGTTTGAATTCCAGTTGACTTGATTATATTAAGTGCTAATACACTTGGGAAAGGTATGAATCCATCTCTTCTCCCCACAACTACAGGTAAATAGCAGGGTAGACTGGGTTCTGTAGCCTTGGGTGGCAACTGGTCTAGGAGAACGACAACTCTGAATTCAAAACCTGATTCTACAGGTTGCGTGTTGTGCAGTAGGCCAACAACCGTCTCACTTAAAAAAAACTGGCTTGTTATAGAATCTGCAATAATATCTTGTGACCCTATGTTCCTCAAGAAATTTAAAGGTATAATGTATATATTATAGTTCAGTGGGACAATTCTGTGGGGAGAATGTGGAGTCATAAACCATCACTGCCTGCTGATGAGTACTACTTCTGCTTGTTATGCTTGATTACAGTCACCGAAGCTTCTTTTTGTTACAGCTGTAAATAATGACAGAAATTTAGACAGAACCCAATATTGGTTTTTTCTTTTAGAAGGGTTTCCTGGTCAGATCGAGGCTTGTTAAAAGGAGAATAGCTGTTAAGAGCCACGAATACAAGGAAGCTGTAGAGAGTCATGATCGCCCACATCCTGAAGGGAGACAACACACAGAAGAGCTTTCATACCCTCTTTTAGTGACAGATACCGGTTTATATTACTATGCTATCAAAACAGTGACAGTTGCTATGACGTGCGCTGCCAGATAATTTTAAAGATCCAGTGTGAAACAAACAGATAAAAAATAAATTACTTTAAAAAAAAAAAAAAAAAAAAAAGGAAGTAGTTAGACAGAGCGATATGATTACCAGTTTGCATTATAATATAAATACATCCTTACTCTCTTTACCCCTCCCCCCTTTCCGGGGGCCCAGAGCAACATGGGCTTCGATGGTGGGGACGGGATATGTGTTTAGACGGAGACAATTCGACGACGAACAGAAATTTCTGTTGGTTTATCGCTTGATTCATTTTCGTCCCGTCGTGTCCACCCACCCCTTATTCCATCCCCCCCCTTCCGCCGTTACTATTCAACATCAGAACCATGATTTATCGGGGTCAGTTTAGGCTCCCCTTCCTTAAATGGCCTTTAGAGCATATCTTCTCACGCGTGACTGGCTTCTTACTCAAGGTTCCTGTTGGCGAAGAATTGGCTGATCCGATAAGACTCGTCTATTCAGTAAGAGTGAAGCGTGAACATTTGATTAAGGCTGCCTGTCTATGAGCTATTTATTGAATGGTCCATCTCTCTCTTTCTCTCCATAAAGTGGACGACGGACTGTTTAGCCACAGGGGAGGGGGTGCAACTATAGTGTGGCGAATTCTTTAGGCTTTGGGTTTGGCCTGGGACAGGTGAGGGTTGCCTTCTTTCATTGTGACACTGGTGATGGTATTGGTGATTGCTGTTGTTGTTGTTGTTATGATTATTATTATTATTACTCTGTCTATTGTCATCTTTAGTGAATGGGACCTTCATCTTCATTTCATCCAATGACCTCCAACACCTCCAGATTCTCTCTCTCTCTCTCTCTCTCTCGGCAGTTCTGCCTCTTTTTCTTCCCTTTTTCTTTTTTGTTTTTTTTTTTTTTTTTTCTTTTTTTTTTTTCTTTTTATTTTCTTTTTTTTTTTTTTTTTTTTTTATCTTTCTGTGTCAGTGCCTCTGCTTATCACTTCCTTGTTTAGCCGTCATCTCCTTTCCTTTCATTTCTTGCTTGCTCCTCCACTCTGAACCGTTATTGTCTTTCTCTTCCTCATCGCTCTGCCATCACGGTCCACTTTCTTCTCTCTCCTCCCTTTCCTCGCTTTGTCGTTATCGTCTTTCTTCTTTTCCTCCTCCTCCTCACTTAACTGTCATTGTTTTATGTTTTTCTCTTCCTCCCCCTTCCTTACTCAGCCATTATCATCTTTCTTCTCTTCCTCCTCCTTACTTGACTGTCATTGTCTTTCTTCTCTAACTCCTCCACCCTTACTCAGCCATCATTGTCTTATCTTCCTCCCCCTCCTCACTCGGTCGTTGTCATTTTTCTCTTCCTCCCCCTCCTCACTCGGTCGTTGTCACCTTCTCTTCCTCCCCCTCCTCCTCACTCGGCTGTCGTAGCCGTCTTCTCTTCCTCCCCTCCTCCTCACTCGGCTGTCGTAGCCGTCTTCTTCCTCCCCTCCTCCTCACTCGGCTGTCGTAGCCGTCTTCTCTTCCTCCCCCTCCTCCTCACTCGGCTGTCGTAGCCGTCTTCTCTTCCTCCCCCTCCTCCTCACTCGGCTGTCGTAGTCGTCTTCTCTTCCTCCCCCTCCTCACTCGCTTCCCTCTCTCTCTAATCCATCCTTTCTCTATTCATTGCTTTAAGTGATCTACCCAACAGATAACAACTTCTTCCTCTAATTCTTTTCTAAATGCAATGCTTTTCAACAAAAATGACTGAAACCAAAGCTTATATTTTTTTTGCCTCTGGCTTTGTAGTCAGTCTTTCAAAACCTCATTCTAATCAGGAAGCTCTCTAAACTCTAAAATCTGTGATATTTCCTCAAAATAACAAAAAACTTGCAAGGAAACATTTTGCTCACCAGCCCCTGTGTGCTAAAGAATTAAAATAAAAAAATATATGTAAAATCTTTATTTATCCAAACTGTCACAAAATTCTTTTAAACTCAAGACAGAATTATATTTTAAATTGTAATTTTATTTTTTAAAAAAAAAAAAAACGGAAATCTGTAAAGCAGTCCTAACTTTTTGTCTGAGTTGCTTTTTTTTTTTTTTAAATAAACTCAAAATACACCTGCTTAGGAATTTTCAATATCGTAATGGATTTTCCTGAAAATTATACCGTGTGTCATATATACAGGTTCCAGGACATTGTAAAATATATAAAATTAAATAGTTTTTTATGTAAATGTATATTTTCTGCCTGAATTTCAGGGATGAGGAGTTAGCATTATTTACATGCAGACTATGTTTGTTGTTTTATCACAATGTTTCAGCCATTTGTACCATCTGGCCTTCATAAGGTGTGTATTGACCTGGGTAAGATTTTGAAGGCATTAAAACTAAGAAACAGCAATTAATAATTTCTAGTTGAGTCTGGCATAAGGCTACAAGTAGGGAGTACCCAGTGAGAACCTAACCTTTTCATTCATATTGGTTATTTACTAAGCATAATGTCACACAAGGAGAGTCCTTGCCATTTAACACAGAATGTTCTTGTAACGATGCGGATTATCTTAAATATTTATAAGTTAAACATTTGCCCTTGCTTTTAATATTGCAGCCACATCTGGTCAGGCGCTTATACTTTATATTTAGAGATTCTTGATAAAATCCAAACAATCTGCAATGTTATTGGCCCTGACCTAGCAACTCAGCTTCAGTCACTTTTCCACTGCCGTAATGTAGCTTCTCTCTGCCTTTTCTATAAATACTTCCATGGTAATTGCTCAAAGACCTCATGAATTTAAGCACGGTACTAGATTAGTAGCAAGGTTTCATCATTTTATAGTTGGAATGGCTAGATGTAACTGTAAGTTCTCTGCTAATAGTTTCTTCAACCGCACTTCTCGCTTGTGGAACTCTCTCCTGGCTTCTTGCTTCCCATTCAACTTTGCACTTAGATCAATGTCAACTGTTACATTGTCTTTTTAATTCTTGTTCTTTTATTGTTCTCTCTCCTTACTGATTTTTTTTTCCCTCATATTCCCTAATATTCAGTAACCCCTTGTGTCCTAGTGTCTTACCTTGTTTGGGATGAAATTATTAAAAAAAAAATGACATTGTGGTAATGTTGCAGGTAAAAAAAATTCTACACTGGTCATAGTATCAGAATACTTTTTCACTTAATATATCAGTCAGTTAAGTGCTATACATGATATATACTTGGGTGAGCATGTCTCTTGACTGACTAGGCAGAAGCTTTTCATGCAGTAGACTGATTTTCAACCAAGGCTATAAGACCCAGTCTGTCTTGCTATTCAACCTGTAGCTGAGGTGAGAAGAAATGGATTTGTACCTTTCCCAAGAGCATAAGTGAATGTAATGAACCCAACCGGAATTTGAACTTATCACTCTGATTTCTCGTTCTGAGCTGATATCCATTGTGTCACTGCACTTAGCTTCCTGGAATTTATTATCCATTTTCCATTAATGTAAAGGCAACGTATTTGCAAGGTAATATTGCAGACGTGTTGTGGAAAGACATTTACTAAAATATCCACTGGCCCAGTGGATAAAAGTGTTGGTTGGAAATAATATCTTGATCAAACGAGTTGTGCATTCAATACCTGGCTACTGAAGTGGTGGACAAAAACTTGGAGAGTTGAGTTAAAGGGAGATAACCGAGACATCTGGAAGAGACATGGCACGTGGAACTAGAATAATCTACTCCCAGTGGACAGAGTTCAGTTCGAAAGTCCAATCACCTGAAGATGGTCAGAGTGTACAACAGCTGAAACACTGTAAATATGGCAACGAAGTGAGAGCAACAGTTTTAACAATGTAAATAATGTTGTGTGGTGTCTACAGAAAATGTTTTTTGATGGCACTATTATTTTTTTAAGTATGTTGTATACTGTCAAATCCAGTATTTAAAACCTGCTTTTGAGTTTTTTGAGTTGAGGAATTATTATTAGTTGGAGTGAAAGTGTTGTATCATAATGTCCTTGTCTTGGTTGTTGTGGTCATGACACAGGTTAGAATGTGTGGCAATAAACAACAAAGAAGAAGAGACTAGTCTGAGCAAATATTTTTTTTTAATTTACTTTATTTTTTTTAAAACTTGGCGGCCATTGAAACATTCTGAAGACTTTTTTGTTGACAAGATGTTTCTCTACCAAAGAATTCCAGCAGTTTTTCCGTGAAGTGTTTTTGGTTCAAAAGTTCTATGGCACTGTTTCCTACATTGTTTTCATTCTCATAACACAGCTTACCTTATTTTTTTTTTTTTTTTTTTTTTTTTGGCACTTGTATATATACCTACCTAGACATCATCCCTTCTTCTTGTAAGTAGTTGAATTTAAACAAGCCAGGAAATGACAGCTTAAGTTATTTCGGTGGAGCACTGTCAATTCACCCATCTCTGTGTAACTGATTTTTCTGGTTATGTAGTAAAGCATTCTGTGTATCAAAAAAAAATAAAATAAAATAAAAAATAAAAAGTTCTCTTTCTCCATTGCCTTTATGGTGTAGAATATTATTTGAAAGTTGAGTTAAAGGGAGATATGCTGATGAGAACAGATGCTATACTTTGATCTCAGCTAAAAGGCTGAGAATCAATTATATTTTCTTGCCACTCCACACTGACAGGATGTGGCCCATTTGAGGTATGGTACGTGGAACTAGAACAATCTACCCCTGATGGACAAAATAAGGGTTCAGTTTGAAATTGCAATCACCTGAAGAAGGCCGGAGCATACAACAGCTAGAACATTGTGAATATGGCAATAAAGATGAGGACAACAGACCGAACAATGTAATAATTTAAATAATTACAATGCCTCATCTAAGAAATATAGGCAGATATTCTATTGTAATTATGCTTCCTCCTATCGTTAGTTTGCATGACCATTATGCCCTGCCAGTACCTCATAAATAATGGACTATTCTGTTTTGATTGTGTGAAAAAAAGGGAAAAGACACTACTTGGTTTCAGTGAGAAAATGGAATAAGGGAAGATAGAAGTGAAGAGAGAGAGAATCAGATTAAGCTGAGGAGAACAGCTACTACACCTTGATCTCAGTTAAAAGGTGAAGAATTGATTATTTTTTTTGCCTCCCCACAGTGGCAGGATGTGACACAAGGATTTTAATGTGAGGATCCAGATCACATGCACCCAGGGCCAGGTCCTAAAATAGCCCAGTCCCTGCAACCATTGGCTGTGTCAGCATTGGTATTACAACTGATCACCCCACCCCTACACTTTTTTAATGCCTTGAGGGGGTTAGTGCTGCTGGCAGTTGTTTCCTGAGACTGAGCACTTCTCAACAATATTTTCAGTTGCTCTCTGTCTGCAAAACTACAAGATGAAATATAGGGGCAGATACTACACTCTGATCACAGCTAAAAGGTCAAGAAGTTGTGGCAACTGCAATAAATGGGCCATTTTTCAAAAGCATAGTATTGAACAATGGAAAACAGGCAGTTGCCAAAAATCCAGTTACCATAAATCAAATAACATTGTCTGCTGAATTATTATGAAGAGGAATGTTCATAAGCTGGAGTTTGGGCTCGTAGATTAACATCTGAACAAATTTCCCATTCCAAATACTGAATTAATTCTATTAGTTTTTTTATATTGTCTCATTGTTTTGATCAATTTTTCCAACATGCAACTGGATGTAGTTCTGGTTTGGTTCATTACTTTCACTAAGATGTAAATACCCTTGAGAAAGGTATGAATGTATTGTTTCCCCCCCAGCTATGGGTTAAATAGCAGTACTTGTATCTGGAGAAATCATTGTTGTTCTCAAAAAATTCTTAATGCAATATTCCCTCACAAATAATAAATAATTCTTGAAATCCCAAATATATTTCAGCCTGAAAGAACCAAGACTTGATAATCCATTAAAAAAACTAAATTAGTTAAAGCATTTCAATGTTTTAAAAAAATTTTTTTTTTAATTTACACCTTCTTTGTTTTTGTTAATTTTTAACAAATTCATACCTTTTTTTAAATTCATACATTGACTTTTTTTTCTTTTCTTTTTTAAATTCATACATTTTCTTTACTTTTTTTTTAAATTCATACCTTTTAATTTTAAATTCATACCTTGTTTCTGACTACAGATATAAATAAATTATTTGTAATTCAGATTATATTTTAAATTTTATTGCAGACTTTCCATATTTAAATATGTCCAATCATTTTTTTTTTCCTTTTAATTATTTTTGGTTTATAAATTCAGAGTTTTATTTTTCACAATTCTTTATTTTCTATTGTTTTTTCCTTTTCTTTTTCACTAATGTTCACCCCGATGCAAGACCCGAGAGACATTCAAGGTAGAGGGTTACTGAAGGAGTTTGTTGAGTGAGAAGTAAAAGCCACAGTTTATGATCACATGTGCGAAAGATGATGGTTTGGAACAGGTTGAGATTGTAGTGGTCATGTAAGCATCCTCTTAGGAGTTGATTCTGCACTGTAGTGGTTTGTGAGAAAAAGCTATTTGAGTGGATCTTCTCACTAAAAAAAAAAAAAAAATGAGAAGTATAAGAGATAATTTAGTATTGGGAATATGGACATTAAACGACAATAATGAAATATGCAATTTTGCCATGATCATTTTTTTTTTTTTTTTTTTTTTTCTTTTTTTTACAGTAACTCTTCAAACCTTTATTGTGTATTAGAATTTTTTTAAAAATTTGTTACTTTTATCATCAATTCACTTATTTAAAAACTACTATCAATGGCATTTGCTTTTGTTACTTTCTTGTCGTGCTTGGGGGATAGTTCCATTAGCATCAGGAACCATTCTTGATCGCATACTTCTGTTTCTGTTCAATTTTTCTGATTAGCTCGCAGATATCTGAAGTTGCAAAAGTTAAATTGCATTTGCTAGTGTCAAAGGTCAGCCATATTTGTTTCTACTTAATTCTTTTTTTTTTTTTTTTTTTTTTAAGTAATTTTTGACAGTGGTAATAGCAGAGGGAACACATGAAAATAGAATACAAGCATTTAATTTTTTTCTTTTTTTTTTTTAAACCATTAAAATAAATATTTTAAACTTTCTATTGGTTCGTGATTTTATTTTATTTTATTTTTCTATATTTTTGATTTCTTTAAGGAATATTAAGTTTCTGTTTTTTTCCCTGTCAAGCATTTAAAAAAAAAATAAATAAATAAATAAATAAAATTGTCTGTGACTCGAGTTTCTGGTTTGAATAAAATAACGAAATTTCTCCTAACATGATTAGTTCGGTGTTTGCCCGAATTCATCTAATATGTTTTACCAATGCAACCACTTTCTCTCTTACTCACTCAGCGGCCTGAAGCAAATGTATTATCCCACAATTAATGAAATGTTCAACAACTATTAAAATTATGAAAGATGGGAGAGGCATCGTTGCAGAATCGGCAAAGAATGAGGTGAGGTGCGGTAAGAAGGTTTCTCCTCTTGAAGGAAATGCAATCTCCCTCTCTTGTAAAAGCATTCTCAAATCCACTCTCTCATGTTTTATCATCTTTCTCTCCTTTTCTCCAGTCCAGTTTCTCATTTGTTTGGTGGTAGCATTGGATAATTCTGTAAGAAAAAGGAACATTAGAGACACCAGTTAATGTGAAACCTATTGTTTTTTTCAATCTCCTACTGGCTTGTTAGCTCTGTTTCCGACTGACACTCTCTGGACCAATTTCTCTTTTGCTCTTCATCCTCTTCCATTCTCTTGCCCATTCACTCACTCCTCCTACCCCCCCCACTTCATTCTTTTTACAAATATCCTCTTTTCTCAACTTAAAAATTTTTTTGTCTTGTCATCGCCTCTATTTTGACTCTTTTAGTCAGGCTCCTTCACACCTTACTCTCCTTAATTTTCTCAGGATCCTTTGCACCTTACTCTTCTTAATTTCACTTTTTGATTTTATTTCTTTTATTGATTTCCTTGTCCCTAATTTCTCCATGCTTCCTTCTTCTCTATGCTCCCCCTCTTTATGCACCCCATTTTTCTCTATGCCTCCTCTTTCTCCTTTATTCTCTGTGCCCCCCTTTCTCCTTTATTCTCTGTGCCCACCTTTCTCCTTTATTCTCTGTGCCCCTTTCTCCTTTATTCTCTGTGACCCTTCTCCTTTATTCTCTGTGACCCCCTTCTCCTTTATTCTCTGTGCCCCCCTTTCTCCTTTATTCTCTGTGACCCCCTTCTCCTTTATTCTCTGTGACCCCCTTCTCCTTTACTCTCTGTGATCCCCTCTTTCTCCTTTACTCTCTGTGACCCCCTCTTTCTCTCTCTCTCTCTCCCCTAACTGTAACTGTTCTTCCTGGCTGTTCATTGTCTTGTCTTTATTCACCACATTGGGAGACTCTAAAAAGTGGTTCATTATCCCAATGGCCACTGGATTCAACTTGAGGTTGATTTCCAAATGTCACAAGCTTTTACCAGAATAATTAGCAATCTAGCCATCTTGGGTGGTGCCGGAACAATTCTGTCCTCCTCTTCAGTTTTTTATGCTATGGGAGGCTTCAGGATATTTGCTATGTTTCCCTTCCACGTCTTGCTTTCAAGAATTTTTAACATTGTGCATGTGTTTTCTTTCATTACCTCTCTTTGTTCTCGCTTTCTCTCTCTCACTTTCTCTTCCCCCATTTTTCTCTCTGTCTTTTCTCTCTCTCTCTCTCTCCGTCTTTTCTCTCTCTCTCTTCTCTCTCTCTCTCTCTGTCTTCTCTCTCTCTCTGTCTCTTTTTCTCTCTCTCTCTCTGTCTTTTCTCTCTCTCTCTCTGTCTTTTCTCTCTCTCTCTCTCTTCTCTCTCTCTCTCTCCCACTATAAACAATATATTTAAACAGTTAAAATTAGTGATGCCCATTTACTTTTTTTTTTTTTTTTTTTTTTTTTTATTTTAACCAGTAAGAAAAAGAAACCCTGCCAATATGACTTTAGGTAGACAAAAATCACACCAAGTCATTTATTTTGATACCAGTTCAGCTTATTGAGAAATAAATGTGTAGATGCCACCAAAGAAAATGCGGCAAATATATTAAAACCATAACAATATAGTCAGGTTTTTTTTTTTTAAAGAAGGCAAAAAAGACCCTATCTTTGAGAAACTGACTCTTAACCTCTGACAAAATGGAACACATTGTTTCTCCAATGTCCTCATATTTCAACTGACTGCCAGGCCTTCAAAATAAAAGAAAGAAGGAAATATACACAGATCTTTAACAAAGAAAAATCTTACTGCTTTCCAAGATGATGGCCGATGATTGATTTCTTTCTTTCTGTAAGCTTCATTTGGCAAACATTTATGTCCCAAATCATGTAAATATGCAATTTGTTTGCATGCATAGTACCCATCAAAAATCATGCAAATACTTTGGTATGGCTCAGACCTTTTGCTTCACATCAAAGTGTTGCCCCTGGCACTTATATATTAATGTTATTAATGTGTATATGTTGAGATATATATGATTTGTGTGCATTTCATGCTTGAATGGATTCTTCATGCCTGAACATGTGTGTGTGTACTCAAATTTTTCCCATACTGATTTATTGTCATTTGTTGACACAAGGTAAACAAAATTTTGAAGGTTCTAAAATGGATTAAAAAATATAATTTAAGAATGAAAAAATTCTTTTGTCTTTCCTCTTAATAAGATTTTGATGATAACTTTGTTTTTATTAAATTTCAAATATTTTTTAGCATTACCTAAGCAGGGAGTACCTAATTTTGTGTATTGGTGATATATTGTGTGTGTATTCAGTAAGTGTTCAGACAACTGAAAAAACAATTTTCCCACTTATTCTCCTTCCTCGTCAATGCACTTAATCCAGTAGTAAATATTAATTATATAGATGGACCAGTATACAGTGAATATTTCAGATCAAAATTCATCTGATAACAGGGTCAGCTAATGCATTTATTGACCTTTCCTCATGTGTGTTCTAAATGTGCATGTTGCATCATGTACACATGCACATATATATATATATATATGCACACACACACACACACACACACACACCTTTCTCTCTCTCTCTCACTCTCACTATATATGTGTGAGTATTTTTATCTGTTTTTACACACACATATACACATATATATATATATATATATATATATATATATATATATATATATATATATATATATATATATACACACACACTTTCATTTAGAATGAAGGCAAAATATTGAACTTTGTCATTTTAATCCTAACAAAAATCACTTTGGATTCCCTGCAAGCAAAATAAATTCATTATTTCATTCCCTCAATATATTCATAAAACAATCTTATATTCAAGTTGCTGTCTATTCACTAAGACTCAGTTGCAAACGCTTTTGTCATATTTTGATAGCAAATGCAATCCTTTCTGTAGTTTTCTAAACAGAAATGAGGGCCCTCCCCACACCCTTTTATATTTTTATTTTCAAATCATTCATTTTGCTTTTCTCTTAACTTCTCTTTTTTTTTTTTTTTTTTTTTTTTTTTTTTTTAGAGAATTGGAGAAAGCATTTGTTTTTAGGCTGTTTAAAGAGAAGTTGGTTTTAAAAAAAAAATGTCAATAACTAAGAACGATAACTCTTGGTGTTCTTTATTTCCATCAACACTTTGCAGTTACTTTTCTTTGTCATTTTTCTTTTATCGAATGTTATTTTTATGATGTCAATATAAGAAAGTTTTTGGCATTTTGAGTAGGTAGATATTTTTTCTTTTTACTTTGAACCTCTTTTTTCCTTTTTCCTTTCTCATTTCTCTTTTTCCTTTCTCATTTCTCTTTTTCCTTTCTTATTTCTCTTTTTCCTTTCTCATTTCTCTTTTTCCTTTCTCTTTTCTCTTTTTCCTTTCTCTTTTCTCTTTTTCCTTTCTCTTTTCTCTTTTTCCTTTCTCTTTTCTCTTTTTCCTTTCTCATTTCTCTCTTTCCTTTCTCATTTCTCTTTTTTTTTTCCCTTCTAAATTAGTTAATTTTATTTAAAAATCTTTGTTCCTCTTTTGATAAATAGTTAAAAAAAACAAAACATTAAAATTCCTTTTTTAAAAGATTCCCCCCCCCCGATGAAG